TTAGGAAAGCATTCTTTACATCCAGTTGAAACAAGGGCCAAGAGTATGAGGCAGCAAGGAAAAGGAGTATCCGAACGGAGGTCATCTTTGCAACTGGCGCAAAGGTCTCTAAATAATCAATGCCATAGGTCTGTGTGTATCCTTTTGCGACAAGTCTTGCTTTGTACCTCTCTATACTTCCATTTGCCTTATATTTTACTGTGTAAACCCATTTGCATCCAACTGTCTCCTTGCCTTCTGGTAAGTCCACAATGTCCCATGTCTGATTCTTAATCAAAGCTTYMATCTCTTCCTGCATAGYYGTCTTCCACTCAGGTTTGGAGAGAGCCTCACTAACACCCTTGGGTATAGACACTGAATCAAAAGAAGAGAGAAAAGCACGRTAGGAAGGAGAAAGTCCACTGTAGGATAAGTACTGTGAAATACAATGGGCAGTACACTTTCTCTTCCCTTTTCTAAGAGCAATAGGGAGATCAAGGTTATTTGTAACAGAGTTAGTAGGATCAATGGGAACTGAAATAGTAGCAGGATCAAGAGGAATACCTGAATTCGTATTAGTCAAATCTGGAGTCTCCAAGGGATCGACAAGAAGTGATGTGAGTTCTGCTGTAGTGGAATCAACCGCCTTGTGAAGTCTCTGTCGTGAGTAATGCTGAGAAACAGAGCGCAAAGGAGGTGGCAAGGTAGGTGGCACCGGGTGGTGGTCAAGCATAGGAGGTGACACAGGGACTGGAAATGGAAGAGGGATAGACTGCTGACTTACTTTCCCAAAACACTCCCCCTGAGAAGGATTCTGTGAGAAGAAGTACGTGGATTCAAAAAAGGTGACATCCATGGTAACATATCAATTCCCAGAGACTGGATCATAGCAGCGGTACCCTTTTTGATTCTCTGCATATCCAAGGAAGACACACTTCTTTGCCTTGGGATCAAGCTTCGAGCGGTGAGGACCAAGGATGTGTGCAAAGCAGACACACCCAAANAATGGAGTGCTGAATCCAAGTATACGAGAAGGCACCCTGTTAATCAGATATACTGCTGTGAGAACTGCATCACCCCAAAACCGAACCGGAACCGTAGATGTGATCATCATGCTTTTTGCGGTCTCAACAATGTGTTTGTTCTTCCTTTCTGCAACACCATTCTGTTGTTAACTGTAGGAACAGCTGCTCTGATGGACAACACCATACTCTAACAAGTACGAGGCAAGATGTCTTTCAAAATATTCCCTGGCATTGTCAGATCTAAACACCTTTATTCTTGTTCCAAACTGTGTTAGTACCATCTGATGAAATTGCCGCACCAAGGATGGTACTTCATCGTGGGATTTCATCAGGTAAATCCAAGAGTATCGAGAAAAATCATCCACAAATAGGAGGAAATAGCGATAGCCTCCCATAGAAGGAACATGGTAAGGACCCCACACATCCGAATGAATAACATAAAAAGAAGAAGAACATCTTTTATTACTAGGTTTAAAAGAATGTCTACAATGTTTTCCAAGTTGACAACCTTCACACTCCATAATTGACAGACTAACAGACTCAAAAAGTTTTGGAAACAAAGTACTCAAAGAAGAAAAGGACAAATCGCCCAAACAATTATGCCAAAGCATAATCTGACTCACAGATCCTGACTCACTGTCCTTGCTAACATGATGACTCTAGTGTGGGGGAACATCCAAGAGGTAGATTCCATTCACTTCACGACCACTCCCAATCGTCCTCTTTGAATCCAAATCCTGCAAAATACAACGTCCAGGAGAAAAAATTACTGAGCAGTTCAAATTCTTAGTCAAACTACTAACAGATAACAAATTTGTGCTCAATCCGGGAACATGAAGGAAAGAGGGTAAACAAATAGAATCATTAATCTTGAAAGATCTCTTCCCAGCAATAGGAACATGGGATCCATCAACTGTGGAGACCCTATCTCTGCTAGAGCAGAGCTGGTAAGAGGAAAAAATAGTGAGCTTTGGGTCATGTGCTCCGAGCCTCTAGAATCTATAATCCAAGGAGGTCCTTCCTTACCTGAAGTGGAAACATAATTTGCAGTGACGTGTGAACTACCTGTGTGAGCAAAGGAGGTAGAGTGAGCTCCACCAGTGCCACCCAATCTAACTGTAGTAATGGTTCCAGCACCCCCTCCCACTGGTCTCATTTCACTCCTAGGCTTATTTTCAACTCTATGGCCCTCCATGCTTCTCAAAAAGGGTAAAGAAAATAACTAAAAAATGCAGCAAGATCAAACAAGACACCCTTTGGAACCAACAACCCTTTCTTGGTGTCCTAGGCTTTCTTCCCACAAAAAAGGAATTTTTTGTGGGATGGGAGAAGAGAGAGAAAAGACAACCGCCCTCTCTAGAAGCCTCCAAACCACGTGGGACTTGAATCACCCCTTACAAAAAACTCCAAGGAACCCTAAAAAACTAGGGCGCCACTTCCTAGGTCAAAATTGAAGAGTCCAGCAAAAACAAGACTCTTCCCCTTTCTTTAGTTTTTCCTGATTCTGATGAGAAACCCTAGACCAGCTATAGGGCACACAGATCCATCAAGAAAATCCAAAAACTGGGCTTACCTAAGAGCTTCGATCAGCCTCTCATGGACGCCCGGATCTTGCGGAATAGAATGGGCAAATTTCAAAAATTTCTCCCATTCCCCCTAGGAATCGCATTCCCTATTTTTAGAAAAATCATATTTTCAATGATCAATCTTGAACCAAGAACTGAACCAAATCTGAACAAAAGCAGTAGGAGAGGGATATACCTGATACAGAGAAGTAGTATCTCCCAATGGAGGTGTTCATTCCCAATGAAGGATCCAAAGACTGCTCCCACTGAAAATGGCGCAGTGCAGGATGGAGCAAAATCAGTAGTGTTCTTCCCAAGAACCTAATCCTTCGCAAGAATTAGTAGGAAGGCACGTGAGCACAACTTCCTATCAGTCCCTTCACAAGAAACTGGTATCAAGATCCAGTCTTGATTTCTCCCATTGAACTGGAGATCGAACTGGCAGGTGAGGCGGCGGCAGGAAGGAGGCGGCAAGAGAGAATTTTCGCAGGTGTGCTGAATTCTCTCTTCTGTGATTTCAGCTCTGAAGATTTTGTGATGTCTAAAGGCTGCTGCCCCCTCCTCCTTTTATAAGCTCAAAGGGATCAGCTCCTAATCTCATTAGGAGTTGCTGATCCAAATCATATTTGGATCAGAATTCCCTTTAAGTGATAAGGGTAAACCCTTATCTTATCTGCAGATTAGATCAGCCCTCTCCCAATCTTATTAGGAGCTTTCCAGATCTAAATCATATTCAGATCTAGACTCTCTGAGTGGATAGGGTTTAGACCCAATCCCATCTGCTGATTCAATCTCAGAATGGGCTTTAGGCCCATTAAGGTATGTGCTCACTTAGCCTTCCAAACTGTTGCCCACTTGGGCTTCCTTGTATGGCGTGGGACCCAAACATTGATCTACACATCAGCCACATGGGTTCAACCCAGCCTTTGTTACAAGGCCT